GACAGGAAGATCATGTATGCAACATCACTGGGACAATATGAATCATATCTCTTGATTTAAAACCCAAGTTCACACAGGAAATATGAAATGAAACAAACATGTCCAAATGCACATCAGACGAATCAAATCGTTTGAGAAGTAAATGATCATTTCCAGATGTTTCCTTTATAAAGTCAAAATTATTTTTAGGAAATATTACTTAACCATAAACACAGGCTGTAGTTCTTCTTCACTGATTTGATCACAGGTTTTATTGTTTTTTTTACGTCACCTGATGACGAGGAGTCCCGCCTTTTTGACTTGGAACTTTCGCTTTTGTCCTGCACTGATGGCGCAGCATGTGACCTTCAGCTGGTGAGGAAAGAGTTCAAACCAGATCAGTAACAGTGAAGGAATAAATAAAGGAGGTAAGTGAGGTCTGTCTGAACTCGGGTCTGTCAAGACAAACATCCGCTCAGAGATCCTGTCAAAGTGTCTGCAAGGAAACTGCGACACTTTGTGTTTCAGTGGAGCTGAGGATTCAGAGGAAGTCGTTTCACAGATGAAACTGTAAAAAACATTTTCTCTTAAATGTGTATGTGCAGCTCAGGTTCAAGCTTTCAGCGTTTTATCTCTGGCAGATTAATATCAGAGGTGATTCCGCCATGTTTGACCGGTGTCTCTGCAGAAAGAGGAACAAGAGCCATTAAAACTCCTCCATGCTACATTCACGGACATTTAGGAAAGTGTCGATACTTTCAGGTTTCTCAAGAAGAACACTGTGGGCATGTAGGGACTGGTTCACTGGCTGACGGACTCTCTGTACGTCAGTGTCATGTTGGTGCATGTGTCTGCAGTGTTTATCAGGGTAGTGTGTTCTTTTTACATCATTGACTCCTGGCAGAGGTGTTTGACCAAAGGACCCTACCTGTGGACCCTACCTGTGGAGTCACATGTCCTTAGGGTCAAGGGTCATTGGGCAAAGTGTACCAGATAAAGGAAGAGGAAACTGCCTTGCTGAGATTTTTTTTTAGGAGCGGCCCACAGTTAGTCATAGTGTCAAAGTCCAACCTGAGAGCTGCTTCACCTGAGAACATATTTTAAATCATGTGTCAGACTTCACAGTTGTCACCTTGTGTTTTTACTCTGATCTGATGCTGACGGTGATGTTGACATGTTACAGGACAGACGGAGACACAGAGCCTTGTGACGTCAGCAGAGACCCTCAGTGAAGCAACACTGACACATGTAAGTATTCTCTGACTGTCCCGACAAACAGGGCATCGCTTCCTCCATCTTTTTTTTTTTTTATTTTGCACACATACAAAACTGTGCACAGTATAATTATCTTCTAAATAAGCTTTAAATATTGTTTAAGAGTCCCAGAGGACAGACGTGCAGCTGCACACTTCTCCCTCCTCCCCTGTGCTCTTACTGCAGCACAGCCCCAAACCGCATGTCATTTTTGTTTCAATTAATTATCAGAGAGGAGATGTGGGAGACGCAAACTTTATTTCAAGTGAAGTTTTGGTCTAAAAAGACACACAGAAGTGGGAAAGCAATCCAGCGTCTATGTCAGCTTACACTGGGCAGCTGGTGAACCTGAATCTGAGAGTTGGAGGGAGACGGTGTGGTTTTATACCAGACTGTGTTACTGGTTGTTAACGGTGTGTTGTTGCCTAAATTAGACTGGCTGTGTGAGATGGTTTAATAGTGGTTTAATGTTGCACAGCAGAGACAAACAAAGCTGAGGCTCAGGGCGAACACTATTGTTATCTGGCTGTCCATGTCAGCAGATAATGGTGACGTGATGTTGCTCTGCAGGGAGCTCGATTTGCGTGCAGCTGACACCAGGGAAGTTGAAGAGGGAGGGGTAGGGGCTCGACTCAAATGCAGTTGTCGGCACAACACACTTTTAACTAAGAACTGATGCCATGGGTCAAATTTAAAAACTGAAATACAAAATTATTAAAAGAAATAGAAAAACACGTCTTGCAAAACAGGCACTTCTACAGAGGGCAAAGGGGCAGGTGTGTGAGCACCACCTGTCTGTGCGTGCGCCTGGATTGCTCAGTGACTTTAACTTAACACACGTTCATTAGTTTATTGTGGTTTTTTGTGTGTGTGCATGAAAAGGAGGAAAAAGAACCTACATTTGTTTTCTATTCTTCCCTCCAGGTGAATTAGTCTCTGATGTTTTCACTGGAGTACAGCATGGCGACTGCACCATCAGGTGAGTCCAGTCAGACTTTATTAGCTCAGTAACACACTGTCTTCTCTCACTGTTCACATATTACCCTCATAAAAAAGAACTTTGTCCTCAGCGTAAATCAGGACTGTGACTTCTGAGAGGAGCTCGTCTGATTGGACGGCCTCATTTCCCAGCGCTGAATAGGAGACCAAAAATTCAATTAAAACAGTACCTTCTCCAGCAGGTTATGAATTAAAACTATGTTTACATTATTATTAATAAACAATGTTATTATTATTATTATTATGTTATAACTATTATAATTAGTACTGCATCTTATTTTTTCATAAGAAGGCTGCCTATTGTTAAACTGACTGTCATTCTTGAATGAAAGCACTGATCAGTTAGCCTGGTAAGACCATCCAGATGACATTAGCTCGACATTCTGTTTGAGCCCAGTCTCGCTCCGAAGTCGTCAAAATCTGGCACTTGGACAGTGACTTTTGGTGTCAGAAACCAACGAAGAAAACGCCCTTTAATATCGGCACGATAGGCGGGCGATTGCCGTTGTGGTTTAATGGCGCCCAGCGACCTCAGGGGGAAACGCAACAGGTCAAGGATGAAAGTTAAGAGGGCTAAACAAACACAGACTTTCACCCGAGAGAGCGGTGTTCGCATCCTGTAAGATTCTTGGGGATGTTTGTTGTTGAAGAAAAAAAACATCAGTTGGTGGTGTTGTACCGACATAGTGCTTTTATTTTGAAAGAGACTGTATGCAAACTGTACATTTCCTGTGAAAACAGAAGTGTATTTTGAAAACAGACAATGCATGTAACAGGCTGAAGTTGACACGGCGTCCCAGAACGTCAACAACCAACACACCCAGGGTACCTTGGACGTCATATGTGGACGTGGAAAGTCCATGACCAAACTTGGACATGTGACGAGGTCACAGTGAGGATGTGTTGGAAAAAAGCAAGAAATGTATTCAAATATATTTCATTCCCCTGCATGCTGCACAGAATAATCACAGTCCATGGCTCCTCTGAGCAGCACTGTGCAGGCACAGACTAGGCCTGGGGCAGGTGCAGGGCGAGTGGCGCGGAGGACATCACTGAGCGTCCTCTGTGACTGAGCCTTTATTGAGAATTGGTTGTTATCAGTCTTACACTCCCAGTTTGGAAAGACGGACAAGAGAGCAAAGTCTGGTGACTTTGAAGAGAGCATGACATTGTGGTGTCAGTCTCCCATCGTAGAGGGCCGTCTGACGGCAGGGTGAAGCTGTGAAAATATGCTAAATATATAAGTGATCATATTTTTATGAGACTATGTTTTGCTGCTCCCCCTGTCCACAGTCACCAGACTCCTTTGACAGAAACACAGATTTGTCAGAAGAACAGTGACAACATCTTTTCCTCTGAAACTCTGCGAGTGCATACTCTGTTCTTCTTTAATTGTTGTCATTGAATCTATTCCTGCAGTAACTTCACTTATTGCTGTCTTTACTAACATTAGAGTTAGTGCCTGTTGCTATGGGAGCCGCCATTACTGGTCTGCAAACAACGGCCTGCATTTTACGTCATCAACTACAGCGCAGTCCCTGACTGGCTGTTTTTGTTGTTAACTGCAGTACAGATCCCTGATTGGCCCCAACTGGATTTTAATTTTTGGAAAAAAAATTTGGCCGGCACTGAGTCCAGACTGAATGAGTGAAACTGAATGTTGAGCTCATGTCATTAGGATGATCTTTGGCTTGATCACACAGAAAGCTGGAGGTGACTATTTTCTAATTGAGTTTTCTGTTGAGATGGTGCTAACTGCGGTATCCAGCAACCGCTAGCACCAGTTTCTCCTCCACTGTTTACCTTTTGTTGTCGTGACCACCACAGAAGGACTGCCTCTTAAATCATCTTATTGCACGGTGGGAAAAAAAGCAAAGATGGCATGGGGCACTTTTCTGCTCTGAGTTTAAGTTTTTTCAACTCAAAGGGTTCGCACTCTGGCAAAAACGACAGGCGCCTGGAGCGCAGGATCGAGCACGATCTCACTCCGAAGTCGTCAAAATCCGACTCTTGGGTGGTGACTTGCAGCACCAGAAACTAATAAAAAGGCGTCTTTTAATGTTGAATGATGCGCAGCTGCTCGCTGTTCTAGTTTAATGGTGCCCGGCAGCGTCAGGGGGAATCACAATGGGACAAGAATGAAAGTGAAGGCAGCAAAAGTCTGAGTGGGGCTGGCGGTAGAGGTGATGGATGGGTCCAACAACCACCGACTTTCACCTGAGAGAGCGATGTTTGTATCCCTTAAGATTCTAAAGCCAAACTCTGTTCTTTTTTCCTAAACCCAACCACGTGTTTTTGTTGTTGAAGGGAAAAAAAAATGAAATTGCATTGTGCTTTTATTTTGAAAAAGACTGCATGTAAAAGTTACATTTCCTGTGAAAACAGAAGCGTATTTTGAAAGAAAAGAATTTGACACAGAGTCCCAGAACGTGAACAGCCAACACACCCAGGGAACCTTGCATGTGGTATGTGGACGTGGAAAGTCCATAACCAAAACGTCAATATGTGACAAGGTCGCAGTGAGAGTGTGTTGCAGGATCGTGAGGTGTGTGGCAACACAAAGACAGTGAGCAAAGGGGCCCCAAGTAGCTCACCTGGTAGAGCTGTTCCTGTTGACTTTGAATGAAGTGTGTTTTACGATGATAAAGTTACTGTTTTGTATTTTTGTAGATGATGAGAATGATTTGGATCACCCGACATGCAGCAGCCCTGACTCTGAGCGTCCTCTCTGTGAGTCAAACTTAAGTGTTCAACATTTTATTTCTCATGAAAATAGTAAGGCAAGGCAAGTTTATTTGTATAGCACATTTCAGCAATGAGGCAATTCAAAGTGCTTCACATAAAACATACATCAAGTAAAAGCAATAAAGGCAACATAGAAAGACATGAAATACAGTCAGAAAGAGTTACATTGGAAATAAAATAGTACAATTAATTAAAAAGAGTTTAGTTAGAAAGAAAAAAGCTAAAACAGAATGAGTTACAGTGCAGTGTGAGATAATAATCAGAAGCCTAAAGTTTGATTTATTAATAGGCAGCAGCAAACATAAAAGTCTTGAGCTCTGATTTAAAGAGGCAACAGACAGCATCTTTTCCTAAACATATCATTATGAAAATAATGTGGGTTACACAGGGTAGTGAAATAAAAGATAAAGTCCGCACACCAGAAGTTGCTCCTTGAAAATTTAATTAGACTTAACGTTTCGGGCTCCTGCCCTTCATGTCTGATAAAGGCCCGAAATGTTATGTCTAAATAAATTTTCAAGCAGCAGCTTCTGGTGTGTGGACTTTATCTTTTATTTCATACTTACCTTTTGGTCCAGCACCCAGCATTAAGTTTTTGGGATGTGCGTGCTACCTTTACCTGTCAGTTGTTGCACAGGGTAGTGGCCACAGTAAAATCAGATTATCAGCGTTTACATAGGTTACTTAGTGGCTTTGCAATCTTTGCAATGAGCTTCTGCCACTGGTGCCGAAATTTTGCGGAAAAAATCTGCTTTACGGCAGGAAACGCGTCATGTATTGCGAAATTGGTCAGTCAGCCAATCAGGGACTGGAGCTGGTCCTTATGAGGAGTTGGGCATGAGATAGTTGAGTCATGAGCACAATGGCAGACGGACAAAGTTTGGAGACAAGTAAAAAACAGCCTAGCAAAAGAAAAGGAGCTCCTCTGTGTGAGGAGGCAAAGAAGAGCAAAAAGGAGAGTGATAAAAGAAGAGGAAAAACAAGAGTAAACCTCAGTCAGGCGTTCAAGAGATGGAGGGAGCTCCGTGACCAAAGAGGCTTCAAAACCCATGTCCAGCTAGCTTTCTTTCTAATGGATCAGTAAGTAACACGGCTAAATGTTAGCTAGACCAGAGAGGACTGTACTGTACTGGCTGCTAGTTCATTCCTAGCTGGCCAGCATCGCAAATCACCGCAACCAGGGAGCGGGTAGCGAGTGTTGGTCGGCTGACATCCTGGTTGCCATTCTACGGCAGCCCTCGGACAGTGATACCCCCCTCCCTTCCTTCTGTTCTCTTCTCACGGAGGCAGCTATCCACGGACATCGCCCAGCTAAGTTACGCCCAGCTAAGTGAACACTGGACTTTGTTTCCCATTCAATTTGAGCTCCAACCGGCCGCATGGTTTCCATACGGTAGCGTTTATTCTAGAATGGGGACTGTTTACATGTGCATATTGGTATAATTCCACTGTGTCTACTGTTGTTTGTACTGATACTGTACATATTGGTATCATTTACTGTGAGCTGTTTGTACTGGTACTGTGCATTCTGCTATAATTATTTGCATTACTATTTGTTTTTTCTTCAGATAAATCTGATAATTGTTGCTCGGTCTCTTTACTCATTTATTTAGTAGAGTGTCCACACACCTTCTCATTCTACATATATATAGAGGTATACTGGTGGCTTTACAGCCTACATTTTATTGATTATCGCTGATCCCCGCGGTCAATTTAGTCGTTGCGACAGTGCGACGCAACACCACTGACGCTAGGTGGCACTAAGCTAAAAAAAACGAATCCTATCTGATGCCTCTTTAAAAGAACTGAGAGTTGCAGCAGCAGATCTGCAGTTTTCTGGGAGTTTGTTCCAGATATGTGGAGCATAAAAAACTGAATGCTGCTTCTCCATGTTTGGTTTTGACTCTGGGAACAGAAAGCAGACCTGTCCCAGACGACCTGAGAGGTCTGGATGGTTCATAACGTAGCAGCAGCTCAGAAATATATTTTGGCCCTAAACCATTCAGTGCTTTATAAACCAACAACAGTATTTTAAAGTAAATTCTTTGACAGACAGGAAGCCACTGTAAAGATCTGAGAACTGGAGTGATATGATTCACTTTCTTGGTCTTATGAGGAGTCGAGCAGCAGCGTTCTGAATCAACTGCAGCTGTCTGATGGATTTTTAAGGGAGACCTGTGAAGACACCGTTACAGTAGTTGAGTCTACTAAAGATAAATGCATGGACAAGTTTTTCCAAATCCTGCTGAGACTTCAGTCCTTTAACCCTTGATATGTTCTTCAGGTGATAGTAGGCTGATTTTGTAACTGTCTTAATGTGGCGTTGACTACATCAAGATTTCTGGCTTGGTTTGTGCTTTTTAACATTACAGACTGAAGCTGAGTGCTGACTTTTAATTGTTCTTCTCTGGCTCCAAAAACAGTTACTTCAGTTTTATCTTTGTTCAGTTGAAGAACATTCTGGCACATCCATTCATTGATTTGTTCGATGCATTTATGCAATGCTTGTATTGGACCATAGTCCCCTGGTGATATGGTTATGTAAATGTGTGTGTCGTCTGCATAATTATGGTAAGATATCTTGTTGTTTTCCATAATTTGAGCCAGTGGGAGCATGTAGATGTTGAACAGAAGAGGCCCCAGAATGGAGCCTTGAGGAACTCCGTCATTTTCATCCACTCAGATGTGTAATTACCTATAGACACAAAGTAGTCTCTGTCCTTTAAGTAGAATTCAGACCAGTTTAGTACAATTCCGGAAAGTCCCACCCAGTTTTTCAGTCGGTCTAGTAATATAGTGTGGTCAACTGTGTCAAATGCTGCACTAAGATCCAGTAACACTAAAACTGAAATTCTGCCACTGTCTGTGTTTCAGTAGATGTCACTGAAGACCTTAACAAGAGCAGTCTCAGTGCTGTGGTGTGGTCGAAATCCTGACTGGAAGACGTCAAAACAGTTGTTTAGAGTCAAGAAATTGTTTAGCTGTTGAAAAGCAGCTTTTTGAATGATGTTACTGCGAAACGGGAGGTTTGATATGGGCCTATAATTGTTCATTACTGAGATGTCTAGACTGGGTTTTTTTTAAGAGTGGATTGATGACGGCAGATTTCTGGGCCTGGGGGAAGACATGTGTTCATAATCTGTAGATCTGAGGCCATGCAGTTAGAAACCGTTTGAAAAAAGCCCGTTGGCAGAATATCAAGGCAGCAGGAGGAGGATTTCAGATGCTGTATAATGTCCTCCAGGTTTTTGAAGTTGATCGGGTAAAATTGTGTCATGTCACTTGAATTGGTCTTAAGTGGACACAGGGACAACACATATCCTGTACCTGATATGGAGGCACTGACTGCTTGTCTAATTTTCTGGATTTTGTCAGTGAAGGAGGAGGTAAATTCCTTGCAGGCGTGAGCTTAAGAGGAGCTGATAGGGGGATGTTTTGCCTCTGGACAGAGCCAGGCCCACATAGTGGCAGTGGGAGGCTGCTTGAACTCTGTGAGGAGAAGGACTCGCCTTCCACTTTGCTTTTGTCTCGTTACGCTAATTGACACATTCAGATGTCATTGTAAATGAAATGTTTTGAGTGTATCTTAATGCAGAAACTCTGAATAATTGCATATTTAAATGAGCCCCTTGTTTGTAACCCAAGCATGCCTATTAATGTGTACGTTTCTGTGTTCTTACAGTCAAAGATGAACATCAGCCACTGAAACACAGCAGGAGCTATGAATTTCTGCCACCTGACTGTGAGTCAAACTTGGTAGCACAGTGTTCCAACATCCTTAACTGCCAACTACTATCACATGCTACCACCAACCAGCCAGAATGATTCTTGTGTTTTATTAGGTTTCAATTTACAGTGTTTAATGGGTGATCCTTTAGAGAGGCTACATAAGTTTCTCTATTATTAATGCAATAATTCTAATAATTCTGATTAAATGATTGATCATATTTACTTTCCAGTGTCTGAGCTGAGGGTTGTTCTGCTGGGGAACAGCTGGTCTCAGAGGAGTTCAGTGGGGAACTTCATACTGGGAGAGACTAAGTTCAACACTGTTGAAGAACCAGACTGCTGTCTGATAGTTAGTTGACAGATAAAGGATAAAGAAATAGTTCTGATCAACACTCCAGATCTGCTGCATCTCAACATCTCTGTATACAAACTGTCAGAACATGTAGAAGACTGTGTGAGACTCTCTGCTCCTGGACCTCATGTGTTCCTGCTGGTTCTACAGCCTGAAGACTTCACTGAGGAACACAAACTGAGACTCTGCAGAGTCCTGAAACTCTTCAGTGATCAATCATTTGATCATTCATTGATACTGATTTCAACACCCAGAGAGGAGAGCTCAGGTTTCAAAGATGAACCAGACCAGCCCTTAAAAGACATGATCAGTATGTGTAGATACAGATACCTGAAGCAGAAGAACCTTGAACGTCCAGAGCTGTTAACACGATTGGGTCAAATTGTAAAAGAGAACTATGGAGAACACATGAGCTGTGATGTGTCTGACGATGTAACACAAAGTTTACCTTGTGATCAAGAAAGCCTTAAAAAACCAGAAGACGTCGGTTATAAATTGGATCCTACAAAAGCTGCTGGTAAGTGCAGGACAGTAATTCAGTTAATGAGAATCTTATCATTACCACAAATGACTGTACAATAACACTGCTGTACTTGATATTACTGTGTCTTTTACAGTTATCAGAAAAACAACCTCGTCCCACCAGTGTAAGTAAATCAAATTTTATTATTCAGATACATACAGGGGCAATAAGTAACAGTCAGTATGTTTACATGACATTAGGGAAAATGGATTTATTGTATCAGTCCGACTAAAACTGGACTTTTAAAACACATGTAAAAATGTTCGTCCAACTGAAATCGTACTGAAGTGAATTTCTAAGTTGGACTAACACACTCAGATAATGTGATTAGGAGTTGAATTCCTCCTGCATGTATACAGTCAATCAGACCCAAACTGGCCGAGGCGCTCTGAGCATGCTCCATAGTTTCAGCCCCGGGCTTTGACCCAGAAGTCCAATAACATTAAATGTGTAAGAGAAGAAGAAGCCGGTAACAACATGGAGAAATTAATTAATGAGGGATAAAACTGTGCTCACTGGAGTCTAACTAACTCTTTTTTGCCTTGTTATTTCATAGCAAAGGAACTAAGGATTGTGATGTTTGGAACGGAGGTCAAAAAGAAGACACTATGCAACTTCATCGTTGGAAGCAAACAAATCCAACGTAAAATAAACACCAAAAAGCAATGTGAGGTCGCCTTTGGAGAGTGGAGAGGAAAGCCTTTTAAAGTTGTGAAAACTCCTTACATGTTCAGTCTGTCTGTGGAAGCCTTTAGAGAAGAGATGAGAAGCTGTGTAAGTCTTTGTCATCCTGGACCAAATGTTCTGCTGCTGTTAGTGAATCTTTCTGAGTTCATTGAGAAGAACAGACAAACACTGAAGTTCATCCTGAGTCTGTTTGATCAAGATGCCTTCAAACACTCGATGGTCATCATTACACATGAGGAGATTAATGCAAGCCCTGCTGTCAGTCAGCTCCTTAAAGACTGTGGAGGGAGACACTACAACATGTTTTAATTTTATCTCTTTCTGTTAATGGATAAGATTGAGAACATTGTGTTTGAAAACAAAGAATCCTTCCTCACCTTCACTGAAGAGCCCATCAGACCAAAGTCTGAACCCTTCAGAGCAGCTTTAAACCTGGTCCTGTGTGGGAGGAGAGGAGCAGGGAAGACTTCAGCAGCCAAGGCCATTTTAGGTCATACAGAGCTTCATTCAGTCTCCAGCTCATCATAGTGTGTTAAACATCAGGGAGAGGTGTGTGGACGTTGGGTTTCCCTGGTGGAGCTGCCTGCCTTGTATGGAAAACCTCAGGTGGCAGTGATGGAGGAATCATTCAGGTGTATCTCCCTCTGTGATCCTGAGGGCGTCCATGCCTTCATCCTGGTCCTACCTGTGCGTCCCCTCACTGATGAAGACAAGGGAGAGTTAGAGACCATCTGGTACACATTCAGCTCTCTTGTCATTGACTTCACCTTGATCCTGTTCACTGTGGATTCAGATCCTACAGCTTCAGCTTTTGTTAACTTTTTAAAGTATAACTGAGACATCCAGGAGCTCTGTCAGAGCTGTGGAGGAAGATATGTTGTTCTCAACATTAAGGACCAGCAGCAGATCCCAGAGCTGTTGGATGCTGTGGAAGAAATGAAACTGAGACCCAATCAAGATGAAACATGCAGCTACACTAGAGAAACATATGCATATGTCCAAATACAAAAGATCATAAAACAAGACAAACACATCAGCACACTGCAGGCTGAACTGAAGGACCTGAAAACAAAAAGCATGGTCAGCTGTAAGTACCATATAGATTTAAATATTTTCATTAGAACAATAATAAATCATGACCTTTTTTCTGTGTCCTCATCCATCCACTGGATATTAAAACTTGCAGTCTGTACTATTTAAACTGTCACCATTTAAGGTAACTCCAGGTCTTCTTATTTCACAGGTGATGATGAGGAGCAGAGCCCAGAGTGTCTCAGGATTGTGCTGATAGGGAAGACTGGCAGTGGAAAGAGTTCTTCAGGAAACACCATCCTAGGAAGAGAAGAGTTTGAAGCTGAATCAAGCCAAACATCAGTCACCAAACGTTGTCAGAAAGCAGTGGGTGAGGTGGACGGTCGTCCTGTTGCTGTGGTCGACACTCCTGGTCTGTTTGACAATAGTTTAACTCATGAGGAAGTCACTGAAGAGATGGTGAAATGCATCAGTCTTCTGGCTCCAGGACCACATGTCTTCCTGTTGGTGTTACAAATCGGCAGATTTACACCAGAGGAGAAGGAGACATTAAAACTCATCATGGAAGTCTTTGGGAAGAATGCTAAGAAGTTCACCTTCATTCTTTTAACTGGAGGAGATAAACTGAAGCGTGAGAAGCGGACCATTGAGCAGTACATTGAAAAAAAATGTGATCAGTCATTTAAGAATATGATTACTGACTGTGGAGGAAGATACCATGTGTTTTATAACTATGATGACGGCAACCTCATGCAAGTCAGTGACCTGATAACGAAGATTGACACCATGGTGAAGACAAATGGAGGCAGCTGCTACACTAATGAGATCTTCAAAGAGGCCGAGGCAGCTATAAAGAAAGAAGTGGAGAAAATTCTAAAGGAGAAGGAAGAAGAGATGAGGATAGAGAGGGAGAAACTTCAAAGAAAACATAAGGAAGAAATGGAAGCAATGAAAAGAAGAATGGAAGAACAGAGAGCAGACATTGAGAAAGAGAGAAAACTGAGAGGAAAACAACTCAAAGAAATGGAGGAAAACATCAACAAAGAACGTGAGGAGAGGAAGAAAGAACAGGAAATGAGAGAAGAAGAAGACAGGAAGAGGAAACAACAGGAAGAATTACAACAACAAGAGTGGGAACAAAAAGTTGAAGCTTTGGAGCAACAAATAAGATCAGAGTCGGAATCAAAGGAAACTACTGACAGAAAGCTGGAGGAGAGCAGAGAAGAGATGAAAAGAGAAAGAGAACATGAGGAGAAGAAACAAAAAGAATGGTGGGACAAACGAAATCAAGAAAATGAACAGAGACGACAGGAAGAGCAAACGAAACTGAAAAAACTTCAAGATCAGTATGATCAGATGAGAGAAAAGTATGAAGAGAAAAGAAATGAAGAGGACCGAATCAGACAGGAGCAGGAGGAGAAGAAGCTGAAAGAGTTGGAGGAAAACTATAAGACAAAACTGGAGGAAATTAAGAAAAAGTACAAGGAGGAGGCCAGAAATAAAGCTGAAGAGTTCAATGAATTCAGAGAGAGTAAAGAAAGGGACTTTGCAGCTATGATCGAAAAACACATGAAAGAAGTCGAGGATCTGAAGGAACAGCAGGAGAAAGACATGCAAAAGAAGCAAGAGGAATACGACAGGTTGAACGATCTCTCAACCCACAAAGAAGAAAGTCTGAAACAAGCCATGGATAAACTACAGGACAAACACAAACAAGAAATGGCCGACTTGATACTGATACTTTTGTCCCAAAAGAAAGAAAACAGGAGGAAAATAAGGGCAATGCAGGAAGCACACAAAAAAGAGGAGGAGAACCTTAAAAAAGATCTTTTAGCCCATAACAAAAGAAAAGAGAGGGAACAAATGGAGAAACTGAGGAAAAAACAGAAACAAGAAATGAAAGCCCTGGACAAGGAACTTTCAACCCAAACCAAAGACACTAAACACGTAAGACGGGAGACGCTGTCCATCCAACATGAGCAACAAATTATTGATCTGAAAATGGAATTTCTGATGCAACAGCAACAAAACCAGAAGGAACAGCTGAACAAATTAAAGAAAGAACATGAGCAAAAATTGGATGAATTCAAACAGAAACTTCTGGAAGAAAACGAAAGAAATGAGAAAGAAAAAATAGAGGAACTGCAGAAGAATCATGAACAAGAAATGGAGGCACTGAAGCAAGTTAAGAGCCCGGACAAAGACGATCAGGAGGAAGAGCTGGATGAACTGCAGAAAAAACACAAAAAAGAGATGAATGAGCTGAAAGAGAAACTTTTGACCCCACAGGAGCAACAGTCCTGCTGCATCGCATGAACAATCGTAATTATTTCAATGTCACACTAATGCCAACCTGGGTCCTACGTTTTCATTTTTTAGGCCCTCTAAGCATTCAGACTTGTCACCATCTTTGATGTATACAGTTTATATACAGTTACCATGGATACAGACGTTGTTGCCATCTATCACAAGTTCAGTGGAAGAGGTAGTGTTTTACCTTTTTTACCAAACTGTAAAGCTGTTTACCCAACAAAACACTTTTTTCCCCTTTGTATTTGCAGGATTTGACAGTGATAGTCAGTCACGTTGGTTAAGCATTTCTGAACTCTCGTTGACCAGAAAAATAATGCCAAAGTTCAACGCACAGCGCAGAAAAGACCCTCAGCACCTCGTCATGCTGCTGCCATTTGTTAAAGTGTAAATATGTGGTGCTCCCACTGCAAAAATTACTGAGCTATGCTGAAAACACTAAAAACGCTTGGTAGACAAAGCCTCTAGTTAAACTTGATTTGAGCTATGACTCACCAGGCAATATCTTTTTTGCCATTGTCTTTATAATGTTGGGATTGTGGGTCGTTTAGCTTGGGACATTTCTTGACCTCAGCAACGAGTTTCTCCTCATCTAATCTTTGTCACCCACGAGACACAGCAACAGCTACAGAGTTCTATTTATACATCCATGCTAAAGAGAGAAGTCGAGCTGCTAAGTGAGCTTGTAAGTACAAGCAGGGAGCAAGTGGGGGAAAATGCATTTAATTCTGGGGGCAGCAAGGCTGGAAATAGGACTGTGGCATAAAGCATCGCAAGATAGCGCGTCCAGGAGCGCCGACGTGTGTCTTGCACCGCCAGTGTGGGGTTGTACATTAAAAAGAATGTGCGTATTTGGATGTGGGGCATTTGCTGACAGGGTGTTTTGGCCTTTAGTGTAGTGCCTCTTGGGTTTTGGGGTTACCTTTGCCAGTACTGGGTTTACTGTAATAGATTATTTCCACATGCATATTAATTTTTCTTTTTGGACTGTTTGTTAGTATTTTGTATATTTAGTTTGTTTTTTATTTGTTTTTGTTTTTTGTTTTTTTTGTTGTTGAATGTGGATTTTTTTTTAAATACAAACATAAAAGGGTTAAGTTTACAATTTATTTTAACAGGTTATTGTGTTAACTGTAATAAATAATTTCCACACGCATTTAATTTTTCTTTTTAGAGATGTTTGTTGGTATTTTGTATATTTAGTTTTTTTGTTGTATATGGGTGTTTTTTTTTATTTGTTTTTGTCAATCAGTGAGATGATTTTACATGTTTTTGGTGTTTTAACTTGGAAATTTATCATTTTCAAACTAAACAAACTAAATTGAAAATAAAGTGACAAGAATATTCGTTTGTTTCATATCTCAGTGTGAGATTCTGATTCTTATGTATAACGTATGGTTTGTGATTTATAGTCACTGGAGACAAAAAGTTCCACAACAAAATGTTTTCTTGACCAACAGTGTCTTCGTTAACGAGCATTAAACATATACAATCACATATAAACTATTTTAGAATGTTTTTTCAAAGTAAAATGTGCACATCTACAAAAGTATGGTTATTCCTCTGCTAACAACTGCAATTATCAAAATCAGGGTTGCTGAATTTTTGAACTGAACGAAGCAGAAACCTTTAAAGGTAATTTAATACAACTGCTCTGTAAAGAATAACTAACTGAAGTTTGGAGAGGGTTAGGGTCAGTGTTTGTTTTGATGCCTCCACACTGGTGATAGCTGTGTATTATGTTTTCAGGGTTTCTTTACATCACATGCTTGTGAACACAATATCTCAAGAAGGCCACAGGGGAATTTCATCAAATTTGGCACAAATATTGGACTCATTGACGAACTGATTGGATTTCAGTGGTCGAAGGATGAAGGTCAGTGTGAGCTAACAAAATATGTTTTAGGCCATAACTCAAGAATTCATACTCTAATTATGAAAATACTTCACTCAAATGTCTAACAGGATAAAAGGTCAACTTGACTGTGACATCATCATGTTTTAACGTCATATCTCAGGAACAGAAGGGGAGACATTTGGTCAGATACTGAATTGGTGACTCTAATCTTGAAACTGTGCTGATTGTATAGATCTTCTGTGTGTGAAGCATCCATGTTTTCACTGACATGGATGGAGATTGTCAGAGACACTGGACTGGTGGGTGGAGTCATACAAGTAGGGGGTGGTAATTCCAGTTTAGGTTTGTGTTGTTAAAGGCCCAGTAAAAACAAATAATTACAGTAGGAATTTGTGTTATAGTTACATTTAAACTGTTAGAGTTGTAAATGAAAAAGTGATAGTTTGACTGTTTTTCATTCGATCGTAATTCAAGATATGCATGTTTTACTGTGTTCAATACTACTCCAGTAACTATACATGTAATAAAGTATAACATGGGATTATTGTTACTGAGCAAACTGTCAAAAATATTCTCATCCAGTGTTAATGTTGTGTTTGCTGGTGCAGTTTGCCTGTGTCACAAATACAGGAAATACAGAAAACCTGCATCAGCAAAAGGCTCTAAGTTATCATCAGCACAAAGCTGTCAGTTATCATCAGCACAAAGAGCTGTAAGTTATCATTAGCACAAAGCTGTCAGTTATCATCAGCACAAAGAGCTGTAAGTTATCATCGGTACAAAAAGCTGTAAGTTATCATCAGCACAAAGAGCTGTAAGTTATCATCAGTACAAAGAGCTGTAAGTTATCATCAGCACAAAGAGCTGTAAGTTATCATCAGTACAAAGAGCTGTAAGTTATCATCAGCACAAAGCTCTCAGTTATCAGTAGAAAGAGCTGTAAGTTATCATCAGTACAAAGAGCTGTAAGTTATCATCAGGACAAAGAACTGTAAGTTATCATCAGCACACAGCTCTCAGTTATCATCAGTACAAAGAGCTGTAAGTTATTATCAGCACAAAGCTCACAGTTATCATCAGTACAAAGAGCTGTAAGTTATCATCAGTACAAAGCTGTCAGTTATCATCAGCACAAAGAGCTGTAAGTTATCATCAGCACAAAGCTGTCAGTTATCATCAGCACAAAGAGCTGTAAGTTATCATTAGCACAAAGCTGTCAGTTATCATCAGCACAAAGAGCTGTAAGTTATCATCGGTACAAAAAGCTGTAAGTTATCATCAGCACAAAGAGCTGTAAGTTATCATCAGTACAAAGAACTGTAAGTTATCATCAGCACAAAGAGCTGTAAGTTATCATTAGCACAAAGCTGTCAGTCATCATCAGCACAAAGAGCTGTAAGTTATCATCGGTACAAAGAGCTGTAAGTTATCATCAGGACAAAAGCTGTAAGTTATCATCAGCACAAAGAACTATAAGTTATCATCAGGACAAAGAACTGTAAGTTATCATCAGGACAAAGAACTGTAAGTTATCATCAGGACAAAGAGCTGTAAGTTATCATCAGGACAAAGAGCTGTAAGTTATCATTAGCACAAAGAACTATAAGTTATCATCAGGACAAAGAGCTGTAAGTTATCATCGGTACAAAGAGCTGTAAGTTATCATCAGGACAAAAGCTGTAAGTTATCATCAGCACAAAGAACTAAGTTATCATCAGGACAAAGAACTGTAAGTTATCATCAGCACAAAGCTCTCAGTTATCATCAGTACATAGAGCTGTAAGTTATCATCAGCACAAAGCTCTCACTTATCATCAGTACAAAGAGCTGTAAGTTATCAGCGCAAATAGCTGTAAGTTATCATCAGCGCAAAGAGCTGTAAGTTATCATCAGTACAAAGAGCTGTAAGTTATCATCAGCGCAAAGAGCTGTAAGTTATCATCAGTACAAAGAGCTGTAAGTTATCATCAGCACAAAGCTCTCAGTTATCATCAGTAGAAAGAGCTGTAAGTTATCATCAGTACAAAGAGCTGTAAGTTATCAGGACAAAGAACTGTAAGTTATCATCAGCACACAGCTCTCAGTTATCATCAGTACAAAGAGCTGTAAGTTATTATCAGCACAAAGCTCACAGTTATCATCAGTACAAAGAGCTGTAAGTTATCATCAGCACAAAGCTGTCAGTTATCATCAGCACAAAGAGCTGTAAGTTATCATCAGTACAAAGAGCTGTAAGTTATCATCAGCACAAAGAGCTGTAAGTTATCATCAG